TATGTCTATGCAGTCATTGGGTAGACTTCAATGGTAATGTTTATCACCTCTACTAATTAACATGACATAAATTTCCATGCTTTCTCCTCAAATATAATACATTTTGTAAAATTTGTTGAGTGTGTGTGTGTGTGTATATATATATCACACCGAACATTCAAACCATCTTATTCAACTATATACCCGCTTCCCTATAACAGCAGCTGAAAAAAGCATGATACAAATAAAAGTTAATGAAATGTTATTTTATTTATAGAAAATTCAAAATATGTAAGACTACAGTATTTAACGATGAGTGATAAGGTTTTAAAGGGCCAGGAGGAACTTGCTATAAAATCTAGTAAATGTAATAGTCTCTAGCATATATCGTCTTGCATAGGGTAGGCCGAAATACAGTTGTTGGGCAGCTGGTCAGATATAGATAAGACTGGAGACTTTAGGACTTAGACCTTCCCTCATAACCAACAACCTGCATGAAAGGAGGAGTGATAGGAGTCTGATTACTGATCAAGGGAATAAAACCTGAGAGCTCTGGTCTTAGATGGAGACATGACATCTTGAACTACCCAAAAGTCACTAATTGATGACCATCTAAACCAGGATCCAGAAGTGAGAGAGACAGTTCAGTAGTTAAGAGCACTTTTTGTTCTCTCAGAGGACCCAAGTTCAGGTCTCAGCACCCATGTCAGACTGCTGACAACCACCTGAAATTCCAGACTGCTGACAACCACCTGAAATTCCAGCCCCAGCTAGATATTTTTCTGCCCAATGCAAGGAATGCACTCACATGCACAAGCCCTCCCCCCTGCCTTATATATTCATAATTTAAAAATAACAGGCAAAAAAACTAAAATATTTAAATCTGGTTCCAAGAGCCCTAAACCTAAGCTTATTGTATAGAAGGAAGCTTTCTGATAAAGAACAAAGAAGGATGTATCTTTCTTATCTCATGTAAGAGTCAAAGAAGACCTGTCAGTCTTCTGACAAAGAAACATTCTTTCAAAAATAATGCATAAAAAGCTTCCCTCAACTGTAAATTGGCACAAATTGTCTCTTTGACCCTTGTCCACTCATCTCATGAGATTGTATTCTGCTCTGCTATGAGCTCTTTAACCACTGTCCACTCTTTCCATGCAAGGATAGGCTTCCTTCTACATAGCAATAAACTCTGAGTATCTTCAACACTGTATTCTGTGTGTCTCATCAGAATTCTTTCAAAAGAGATCACAAAGATCAGAGAGCTAAAGAAGTCTAGTGTGAGGTCCTGGAGACAAAATGACAAGTTTCCTTATGAAAGACAAAAAAGGAGAGATCACACAAACACAAGGATGACCAGGTACAGATGGAGGTAAAGACTAGGTTTCATTGCCACAAGCCAAGGAAGCAGTCATCCTAAGCTGGAAGCGATAAGAAATGATTTTTCCCTAGAACCTACAGACAGAGACACTACCTTCTTTTATAAATGTGAGAAAACAAATTTGCTTTTTACAACCTCAGAGTTTATTTTATTTGAAGAAGTAGCCCTAGAAAAGCGATTCAGGCATGCCAGAGAAAATACTGTAGAATGGGTCTTTAAGATTTTGCCTTCTTGGCCTTGATTATCATTTTGGTTAAACTATTCACAAGCCACTAACATGCCACAAAACTTTAACCTCAGTTGTCTTATGATAAAATGATAGTAATGTATTTATCAAATCTGTAATCATTGTGCCAAAAAATCTGAATTACTGTAATATTTTGCATATTGTTAAAACTGTAACTTTAATTGTAAAAAAATTTTAAAATAACAAAAAAAATGTGCATCTAAAAAAAATGATAGTAATCTTAACCTCAAAATATTGCAATAAAATATAAATAAAAGCATCATAGACTCCCATGTATTGGCATATACTTGAGACAAATGATTATACATATTCACACTCTACCCTGCATTGGGTAGAAAGTAATAGACTCTATACTTCAGGTGAGAGCATTGCATGAGGAGATAAATGCATTAGATAATTTTAGCTGTTCTGATAAAATACTAAATTAATTAACTCTCTTTAGTCTCAATTCAGAAGAAACAAGTAATTTCTTTGTACACCAGCCAGTAAAGATCTGATTACACAGATCTTCAATATTCTGTCTATCATCTCTCTGTCTATCTATCATCTATCTATCATCTATCTATCTATATATATATCTATCTATCATCTATCATCTATCTATATCTATCTATCATCTAGCTAGCTAGCTATCATCTGTCTATGTATCTGTCATCTATCTATCCTCTGTATAGTATACAGCTAGCATACATCAGTCTTGTTTTAGTGGTCAGTGAGAACTTATTAAAACATTTCTCTAAAACAGCATCACTGACTGGGGATAAAGTGTTCAAATATTTGAATATATGGGGGATAGTCCTCATTCAAAGTGCCATATTTGACTCTCTGGCCCCCATACGGTCATAACTATATCATAATGCAAAATTTATTTAGTCCAACTTTAAAAGTCCCTATAGTCTTATGTAGTCAACACTGCTCAAAAGTTCAAAGTTCAAAGAGGTTTTTTGAGAATGAGGTAATCTTTTTTTTTATTTTTCATTTTGAGACGGTGTTGCTGCATACATAGACCATACTGTCCTCAATCTGATAGAAATCTTCCTGTCATTATCTCTGCCTCCCAAGTTCTAACATTAAAGGCATGCACCACTACACCCAGTCCTGAAGGCAACCTTCTAACTATATCTTCCTGTAATAAAAAAGCAAATTATATACTTCTAAGGTTCAATGCTGAAGATATGATCTCTCAGCTTCCTGCTCCTGACATCATGCCTACTCCCATGCAATCCCACCATGACTGACTCTCATCCCTCTGGAACAATAAACAAAAATAAACTCTTTCTTCCATTAAACATTTTTTCAGAAGTGGTTGGCAGAAAGAATGTAAGAGTTGGAGGAAGGGTGGAGTGTCAACTGGAAGTGTCCTCCGACCGCTAAGCCATCAAGCTATAGTCACACCTCCTTCCCACACTCCTCAAGGATTCAATGGTCAAGGAGTTGATGGCAGAGTCAGTTACCCCTCCCACCCAATCAGTTGACCTTAGCTGCTTGTAGGGGAGAGGCTAAGGATATATAAGCTGAGAACACCATGAGTAACCTCTCTTGCCATTTTGTGCAGCTGTAGGGAAGTCACAGGATCTATATTTGAGTGTGGACTTCCCAGTGAAGCTGAAAGTTGGGGGACACTCTTCTGTAAATAAACCCTCCACCCTAGGCTTTGTTAGCAAGCCCAGGAAACTCCTTAGGATTGAAAAAAAAAGAAAAACAGAGTTAGTGGAAACGTTCATTATTCCACCAAAGTTGACCCCACGTTGGCAAATCTTTTGGTCTTTGATTTCTTGTGTATATATTTTTATGTAATCTGCTTCAAGTTATTTCTGGAAAAATGTGCTAAAATTTGCCTCTCTTTGAATTAAGAATAATAATAAAAAATGATGTATGAGATACTTGATCCTAATGTTAATACATAGATAATTGTTCTAGTCTTGTTCAAAAGTATGAGGAAAGTAAGAAAGACTGTTTAGTTGCATTTTTAATTAACATTTGAAAACAAACTAAAAAAATTAATAAAAATTAAGTCCTTAAGACAACTTTGTAACACAAAAAACATTCTAGTTACATAAAGACCTTTGGAAAACTGTTCTTCCCAGTAAGAAACTTTGGTAGTTTTTTCTCTTCTATACACTTAACTAAACCTCTGTTAGAATTACAGACCTGAAAAATAAAATTACCAACCAAGGTACTCATACCACTATACATAAATCCATAATATATTCATACAAACCAATTATTATGAAAACATTATCAAAGCTATTAGATATGATTAATTTAAATATTCATTTATGAGATAGATATTAAATTTAAAACAAATATAAAATTAAAGTTAGGATTCTCTTTTTTATGAAACTTTTACAGTTTATTGAAAAGCAGTTGTTTTGCTAATTTACATTAGTAAATGTGATGAGCATCTACTTCTCCTTTCTTAGATTTGGTTTCACCTTTGCCAATCCCCTTTACCCTGCCCACTCCACTGTCCCTATAGTCCTATCCTGTGTTCAAAGGATATACGTCCTGAGAAAAGGTCATCCTTAGAAGCACAGAGCTATGAGCCCATGGGCACTAGCAGAAAACAGAGACCAGGACAGTGGCCTCGCTGTTGTCCAAGGGAGAAATCAATAGAGGTTATGGTGTTTTACTGATGATGTCCAACAGCAATATTGACATTAATGAAGGATTCATTTAAAAACTGTTGAAGAAACTGTAAATAATGATACATATAAGTAAGATACATTTGAGAAAGAACCTGAGAAAGAGATTTTTGCATGAGGAAACAGTGGACATGAACCACTCTAACGTTAGAAAAAGAGCCAAGTTCAAGTCCAGGTGAAAGCTGTTAAGTAGCCTGTGAGTACTAAGAGGCAAGCCACTAGAAACCTGGTGTATCATTCAATTCCATGTTTGTTCCTCCTGTTACAATCAGGAAGAGAAAATCTACACAAGATGCCCATGAAAGGAACACATGATAAAGGAAAGAAAAATTCCAAGGAAATCATGTTTAGAAACTCCATAATATACATGGACTCCACATTATAAGTCTTGAAAAACTTATCTATAAATACTATAGTAGTCACCTCTTATAAATGAAGGGACATTATGTAGAAATTTCCTTCTAACTAAAATATTCCCTCCTCAAGGGACGCTTCTTAATACTCAGAAAGTATACTTTCCTGGCAGGGGAGATACCATGATCATGAAAGTGGTTTTCCCAGGGCAAGGTCTTATCCATTGCACTCCGATGTGCTGACCCCTGTGATTTCTCCAAATGTGGGAAGCTGACGGCATAATTTCCGGTAGTGAGGGACTGTGTTCACACTGTCCCCTGGGGTGGGGGGAACTCAGAAGGTAAGTGAATTTAAAAGCCTTGGTATGGTGGTGCAAGCCTTTAATCCCAGCACTTGGGAGGCAGAGGTAGGTGGATATTTGTAAATTGGCCAGCCTGGTCTACATAATGAGTTCCAGGAGAGCTGGGGCTACAGGGAGACCCTGTCTCAAAAAAAAAAAAAAAAAAAAAAAAAAAAAGGCTTTGGGAGGTAAACAAACTAAAGTCTAGTGGCATTCCTTAAACCTACAAGAGGCACAAAGATCCTCCCAAAGTTTATATGAGCAGTAATGGTTACTGGGGAGAGGAGACTCCCACTGGCTGAGCTGCCAGCAAGTTGTACAGGGTTTGCTATGGATGCAGCTTTTGTGTTATCCTTCATGCTGGGGTGGAGTTTTGGGTAGTGAGGCTGCTTTTGAGTCATCCATATTCCTCTAAGTAACCCCATCCAACCCAGTAAACTAACCTAGACTTGCCTCTTTGGTCTGTCATTTGTACCCGCTCTGGGGTAAATAAGTGTTTGCTCACAACAGGGAGGGTATATTCTAATACCCCAATGAAAGCCTGATTCATGAACAGTACCAAACGCTATACTTATATATGTATGGTGAAATAAGGTGTGTGTGTGTGTGTATTTATGAATTCTTAGGTACAGTAAGAGAATGACAACAATAAAACAGGACAATTATACTCTAAAACTAAAGTTGATATGGTTTCTGTTGTGCAAAGTATTTTATTGCTCTGTTCATAGCCTTATTGTAATCATGTGAGATGAGGTAAATTCCTGCATGGTGAGATGATGTAAGGTGACCAGCACGTGCACTGCACCATAGGGCTTTGCCACTGTGTTAGAACTGCGTTTTTACTGTACAGCAAACCACAGCAGTTAATCTGCCAATCAAGCCAACTCTTAAATCTGAGGATTAACAGGGAGACATTCAGCATGGACACACTTGGCATAGAAATGATTCATGATCTGAGCTGGAAGCTGTGGTTAGAAAGGAGCATAGCTTCAAATTTATGAAATATTTACTTTTGACATTTTCCAATTTATATTTTTAATCCGTGGTTAACCCTGAGAAATTACAACTGCAAAAAGTAAAACCATAAGGATAAAGAGGATGATATACTATAAAACAACTCAAGGGGGATAATGGTGATGCCAAAATTGTAGCACTCCTTTCTGCAATTTATAACAAAAACAAGTTCAAAAACTATTCATGGTATTGTGCATGGTGGTGAACACCTATAATCCAGCCATTGGGAAGCTGAGGCCAGGTGATTATGAGTTCAAGAAGAACATGGGTCACATAATGGAATTACTATTAGAAGAAGCAAATAATAAGTAAATAAATTTAAAGTTAAAAGTTAGTCACATGATCTCATATCACCAGCTTCTGTTACACGGGAGATTCCTATTTAGAGATCGGTCATGAAGCTGACCAACTGGAGAAGGTATAATCATCAACAAAATCAGGAGAACAAGAATACCTAACAGAGAAGTTCTTTTAAAAAAGGGGGGGTGGGGGCTGATGAGAGATGGCTCAGCAGCTAAAAGCACTAAAAGCACTGTCTGCTATTGTGGAGGATCTGACGCCTTTGGCTGGCTTCCGCAGGTATTACACACAGGTGCACTTACACGCAATTTTGTTATTTGAAAACAACAAAATAAAATTTAAATTGAAACCTCACAAAATACATGAAAAGAATGAAGAATTTCATAAAACACATGAAAAGATTGAAGAATTTCAAGAGACCTTTTCTCACCATTGTCTGCATGAACCAAGATGATCCCAGATTAAAAAAAAATAGATAATTGTACAAAATGGGAGGCAAACTCAGGAGTATCTACTGTACTTCAAAAAGCAACCAAAGCACCACAGAGAACTCAGGTCCTTAAAGCTATGACCATAAAACATGCGAGTGCCTTATTGTTTCCCTAAGAAGTTCAAACAAACAGTGTAAACCTTCCTGTTAGAGGCTGCAAGTTCCTGGCTCTGAGAAGTATCAGGGAGGACCCAGTCTTCTTAACACTGTAGTCCATGCAGTGATGGATAAATCTTCACTTAGCTTGACATCTTCAGGGCGGAGATGCAGTGGCTTAAGACTCTCAAGGACTTCCCAGTGCACGTGGAAGAGAACACAGTGATACTAAAAGGACGTTTGCCACAAAAACCTCATTACCTTGTGTTTCATTGTGACTATGTTCTCCAACCCACAAGATGCCCAAAATTACTCCCCTTGCCTCTAAAACCCTGTGAGTCATTTCAGATTTCAAACGACTAAAGGACTGTAAGAATAAGCCAGTTTGCAATGTAGAGTAGAGTGGGAGGGACTACTACCCGAGAGCAAAGGAATTGTGAGGGTGAGGAATCTGGCAGACCATGTAGGGAAGAAAGCTCGAAAAAGATGCTGGCTTGGAGCACAGTTTAAGAAATAAGCACATATAGGAGGCAGGTGCACCGAGTTGGGCTCCTGTCACTCTCCTGCACCGGGCTTCGCTGTCCCTGAGCAGTTGCTCGGTTCTTTTCTTCTGACCACCTTTCTACCACCTTTTGTCCTTTCTCCTACCCTGAAACCAATTTCTTTCATAGTTTTCATTCAGAAAGAATTGTACATGTCCTAGGCTCTCCTAAATCTAAATATCCAAGACCTTTCTTTTGGTGTATTTATGAATATATTTTTACAAAACTGAAAAATAGCTGAAGTCGATTTCCATGTTTCTTCTTTCCACTATCCCTTCTCCCCCCAACCCAGAACACATGCATGTTATTGATGAAGTTGGTCAGTCCTGTCCATACCCATTTGTTGGGTGCATTCATTGCAAACTTTATTTCATATGGTTTCTTGTTTAAGAGGTTATTTAGAGGGAAATTAGTTATATTTTTTAATATTTTTAAAAATTTGTCAATGATACAAATATGATGATCAGCCTTTGTGTTATTTACATTCCTTGAGTGATGTATTTTCTAATTAAAGCTGTTCTCAACTCTGTCAGTCTTACAAGATTTTTCTTGGGGCTAGAGAGATGGCTCTGCAGTTAAGAACACTGGCTGTTCTTGCAGAAGACCCTGGTTCGAATCCCAGCATGCACATCGTGGCTAACAACTGTCTGTAACTCCAGTTCCATGGGATCCGACAGCCTTTTCCGTCCTCTGTGGGCATTGCACAACATGGATGCACTTACCTACAAGCAGGCAATACACTCATACACATAAAATAAAATAAAAAATAAATAAAATATTTTTAAAAAGATTTTTCTTTACTTTGCACAAAACTTTACTCAACATACGTTGTTTGACCACTACCATGTATACATATTTACTGAGTGTCTTAACTTCATAACCTCTTTTTTCAAAAAGTTTTAAGTGGGTTGAGGACATAGCTCAGTGGACCGAGTACTTGCTGCATAAGCATGAGGACCCAAGTTCAGATCCCTAGAACCCACTGTAATATCAGTAATGGGAGTTGCAAACAGGAAGAGCCACAGGTTTTGCTGGCCACCCAGGATAGTAAATCAATAAGCTCTCATTTCAATGCAAGATCCTCTCTCAAAAGATATGAATAAATCTAACCAAAGACATTAATGATCTCTAGATTGAAAATTTTAAATATTTAAAGGAGATAGAGGAAGATACCAGAAAGTAAAAGGAGTGTCCATACTCATGGATTGATAGAATTAATATTGTGAAAATGGCCATCTTACCAAAAGCAATCTATAGATTCAATGCAATGCAAATGAAAATCATGACATTGCTCACAGAGCCAGAACAAAGCACCCTAATTTCATATGGAATCACAAAAGACCCCACATAGTCAAATTCTGAGTATAAAGATCAATGCTGGGGGGATTACTATACCAAATCTCAAACTATATTACAGAACTATAGTCATAAAAACAGCTTTGTACTAGCACAAAAATAGACACATAGATCAGTGGAACACAATAGAAGACCCAAACATGAATGTATGCAATTTCAGCCACCGGTTATACCACTCCTTGGCATATGCCCAAAGGACTCATCCTTCTGTAGAAATACCTGTACATCCATGTTTGTTGCTGCTCTCTTCACAATAGCTAAGGAATGGAAACAACCTAAATGTCCCTCAACTGATGAAAATATGGTATATTTACACCATGGAGTTCTATTCCGTAGTAAGAAAAAAGATGAAATTATGACTTTTACAGGTAAATGTATGGAACTAGAGAGTGTTATGCTAAGTGAAGTAACACAAATTCAGAAAAGCAAGCAATGTATGTTCTCCCTCATTTGCAGATCGTAGCACCAATCCCTTATATGTGACTATATATCCTAATGTATCAGCATGAGCCTGTAAAATGGAAAGGAAACACGGAGGTAAAGGGAAAGAAGAGCTCAAAGGGGGATAATAGCTAACAGATGTTACCAGGGGGAAGTGGGGAAAGTGTCAAGTGTTTGGCTGGGAAGGGAAAAGAGGAATTAGCAGGAATCTATGGTGGTCTGGAAGGCAGCAACTAGGGAGAGGAAGGATGGTGGGAGGCATGTGTTATTGGGGGGGGAGGTGGGGATAATAGGAGTGCTTGGACTTGGAGGGAGGAGGAAGGTAGAACAGGGCTGGGGTGGGGCCCTAGGGAAGCCAGAAGGAAATGCGTTGGCTCTGGAACTCCCTGAGAAATGCACATATGGTGTCTGAACATTAGTGCATGTGTACACTTGGGGGCTGTATGGCAAGGAGCACAGTGCCAGACAGGAGAGACTTCCCTTAGAGTGGTTGGTCAGAGTAGTCCAAGAGACTCTTAAAATAACACAGACAGCTGACAGAGTTCTTGATTGTCTCCCAGAAGTGGAAGATAAGACCCTTCTGCTGAAGACAGGATGTACTTCAGACACTGGACTTGGAGCAAAGAAGCAGGAACTGACCTGGAAGCCTTCTAAATGAAGATTAGCTCTCATAGTTCTAGAGGGTACTATACAGGTGCTAAGGGAGAAAAATCAATCAATGGTCCAACCCAGCCCTAAAGC